GCAGACTCAAACAATGATGGATCTGGACCAAACTTGGCACAGATACTCAATATGCTCCAATGTGAACACTGGTGGAGTTTGGGGAAAATCGACCTTGACATTTGGGAGATGTAGTTGCTGGGATTTATAGTTCAACTGCAACCAAGAGCCCACCTGCTCTCCCCTCCCCGCTTGGAGTCTCAGAAACAGCCCTCCCCTTGGTTGAGAGGCCAGCCAATCACAACGGAGGAGGGATTTTGGTGGGAGGATTTGCCGTCTGTTTCCAAAAAGGAAGATAAGGACAGGTGAAGAGATCTTCAGCCTTCTCTGCCAAAGGGCTTCCTAAGACTATCAGAAAAATATGATTTCTGATAGTCTTCGGCGATCCCTCTGAAACCCCCTCGGAACCCCCCCCCCCAAGGACCCAGAGCCCAAAGTTGAAAAATGCTAATGTAGATGTACTCTAAGTACAAATTTGCACCCAAGGCTGCAAATTTTAGTTCTTCGATCCCATCAATTAAATAGCTGTTGTTGTAATGATCACAAGAATGTATAGAATGCCACTTGCAAAGAACAGATCAGAACATACTGTATATTAGGCTTGGGTAACCACGGAAAAATTTGGTTCTAAACTAGTTTTGTTTTTAGAGGGGCCTTGCGTTTTGTTTTTTTTAATAATTCCGAAATTTACCTTTAAAAAATTTCGAAATTTACGAAATTTTGTAAAATTACAAATCGATTCGTTAATGGCGGACGAGATTGGGCAATATGCTAAAAAAAAACCCTCCAAATGGGACAGGGGGAACTTCTGAAGCTTCCCTCTCCCTCTGTTGTTGACTGTTGGTGTGATAAAACAAACAACAACTATAAAACTTGCACCAGACATGCGAAAATAATTACGAAATAATTACGAAATAATTACGAAATAATTACGAAATAAATTGAAAAAATTGTTTCGAATCTAATTACTCCTCACACTATTCCTGCATGGCTCAATATTGGATCGTAAGCTAATTTAAATACGAATTAATAACGAATTACGAAATTAACGAACGAAACCGCCCAAGCCTATTATACATGGCTATCATATCTCCTCTCAGCCTTCTCACCCCAGGGGGGTCGCTGGGCCATTTTTTGGTTGGCCCCGCCCCTCTGCCTCCTCAAAATGTCTGCCAGGCCATGCCAGGGCAACAGCCAGGCTTAACCAGGTCAGCTCTTCCAGCTCTGCAAGGCCTTGCGCCAGGCGCCCTCGCCTGCTCCGCTCTCCCGCCGGCCGGCAGGGGTGCGGAGCAGGCGAGGGCTCTTCGTTGCAGTTGAACTATAAATCCCAGCAACTTGCATCTCCCAAATGTCAAGGTCTATTTTCCCCAAACTCCACTAGTGTTCACATTTGGGCATATTGAGTATTCGTGCCAAGTTTGGTCCAGATCCATCATTGTTTGAGTCCACAGTGCTCTCTGGATGTAGGTGAACTACAACTCCAAAACTCAAGGTCAATGTCCACCAAACCCTTCCAGTATTTTCTGTTGGTCATGGAAGTTCTGTGTGCCAAGTTCAATTCCATCCTTGGTGGAGTTCAAAATGCTCAATTGTTAGGTAAAGGTAAAGGTAGTCCCCTGACATTAAGTCCAGTCATGTCTGACTCTGGAGTGTGGTGCTCATCTCCATTTCTAAGCCGAAGAGCCAGCGTTGTCCGTAGACACCTCCAAGGTCATGTGGCCGGCATGACTGCATGGAGCGCCATTACCTTCCCGCCGGAGCGGTACCTATTGATCTACTCACATTTGCATGTTTTCGAACTGCTAGGTTGGCAGAAGCTAGGGCTGACAGCGGAAGCTCACGCCGCTCCTCGGAATCGAACCTGTGACCTTTCGATCAACAAGCTCAGCAGCTCAGTGCTTTAACCCACTGCGCCACCGGGGGCTCCTGGCTTTAATTGTAGGTGAACTATAAATCCCAGGAACTACAACTCCCAAATGACATAATCAATTTTCCCTCCAACCCCACCAGTATTCAAATTTGGGCATATTGGGTAAGGTAGGGTAAAGGTTTTCCCCTGACATTAAGTCCAGTTGTGTCCAACTCTGGGAGTTGGTGCTCAATTTCTAGGCCAAAGAGCTGGTGTTGTCCATAGACACCTCCAAGGTCATGTGGCTGACATGACAGCATGGAGCTCTGTTATTGGGTATTTGTGCCAAATTTGGTCCAGTGAATGAAAATACATCCTGTATTTCAGAGATTTACATTATGATTCATAACAGTAACACAATTACAATTAGGAAGTAGCAATAATAATAATTTTATGGTTGGGGGTCACCACAACGTGAGGCGCCGTATTAAGGGGTCGCGGCATTAGGAAGGTTGGGAACCACTGTACTAGAGTATAAGACGAGCCGAATATAAGCCGAGGCACCTAATTTTCCACAAAAAAACTGGGAAAACGAATTGGCTCGAGTATAAGCCGAGGGTGGGAAATGCAGCAGCTGCTGGTAAATTTCAAAATAAAAATAGATACCAATAAAATTACATTAATTGAAGCATCAGCAGGTGAAATATTTTTGAATATTTTTGAATATTTACATAAAACTATAAGTTAAGAGTGTCCAATTCTGATTAAATCATTATTCTAACCTTCTTCAGTTTTTCAATTTATTTTGTAATTATTTTGTAATTATTTCGTAATTATTTCGTAATTATTTCGTAATTATTTTCCCATGTCTGGTACAAGTTTTATAGTTGTTGTTTGTTTTATCACAATGTACTTACTTATCCTTCCAATAATAATAATAAAGAGAGTAAAATAATAAATGTAACAAAAATAATAATGATAGAGTAAAATAATGTAAATGGAATAATAACAATAATAGAGCATAATAATAAATATAATAATAATAGAGTGCAATAGGTATTAGCCCCAGCTTCTGCCAACCTTGCAGATCAAAAACATGCAAATGTGAGTAGATCAATAGGTACCGCTTTGGTGGGAAGATAATGGCGCTCCATGCAGTCATGCTGGCCACATGACCTTGGCGGCATCTACGGACAACGCCGGTTCTTCGGCTTAGACATGGAGATGAGCACCACCATCCCAGAGTCGGACATGACTAGACTTAATGTCAGGGGAAAAGCTTTACATTTACCTAAAATTGTAGATGTACAATTGATGTACAATTGTAGATGTAGATGCTCTGATGGCCAAAAGCGAGGAGGAGCTGAGGAGCCTTCTAATCAAGGTGAAAGAAGAAAGCGCAAAAGCTGGGTTGCAGCTAAACATCAAAAAAACCAAGATTATGGCAACAAGAATGATTGACAACTGGAAAATAGAGGGAGAAAATGTGGAGGCCGTGACAGACTTTGTATTTCTAGGTGCAAAGATTACTGCAGATGCAGACTGTGGCCAGGAAATCAGAAGACGCTTCCTTCTTGGGAGGAGAGCAATGTCCAGTCTCGATAAAATAGTAAAGAGTAGAGACATCAGACTGGCAACAAAGATCCACTGCCTAGTCAAAGCCATGGTATTCCCTGTAGTCACCTACGGATGTGAGAGCTGGACCTTAGGGAAGGCTGAGCGAAGGAAGAGATGCTTTTGAGCTGTGGTGTTGGAGGAAAGTTCTGAGAGTGCCTTGGACTGCGAGAAGATCCAACCAGTCCATCCTCCAGGAAATAAAGCCCGGCTGCTCACGGAGGGAAGGATACTAGAGACAAAGTGAAGTACTTTGGCCACATCATGAGGAGACAGCAAAGCCTAGAGAAGACAATTATGCTGGGGAAAGTGGAAGGCAAAAGGAAGAGGGGCCGACCAAGGGCAAGATGGATGGATGGCATCCTTGAAGTGACTGGACTGACCTTGAAGGAGCTGGGGGTGGTGACGGCCGACAGGGAGCTCTGGCGTGGGCTGGTCCATGAGGTCACGTAGAGTCGGAGACGACTGAACGAATGAATAATAACAATAATAAAAAGAGTAAAATAATAAATGTATAATAATAAAGTAAAATGATAAATGTAATAATAATAAATAGAATAAAATAAAATAATAATAATAATAATAATAATAATAATAACAGAAGTAAAATAATAAATAACCTTGACTCGAGTATAAGTCGCTGAGGGGGGCTTTTTTCAGCCTAAAAAAAGGGTTGAAAAACTCCACTTATTCTTGAGTATGTACGGTAAGTTTTCTCCCATCTAAATTCAAGAAACCCAAGTTGTTGTTCATTCGTTCAGTCGTCTCCGACTCTTCGTGACCTCATGGACCAGCCCACGCCAGAGCTCCCTGTCGGCCGTTACCACCCAGCTCCCTCAAGGTCAGTCCAGTCACTTCAAGGATGCCATCCATCCATCTTGCCCTTGGTCGGCCCCTCTTCCTTTTTCCTTCTACTTTCCCCAGCATAATTGTCTTCTCTAGGCTTTCCTGTCTCCTCATGATAAGAAACCCAAGAGATCACATTAATTTGACAAAGTGTGAGACACCAGCAAGTTGGGGTGGGGGGTGTCCTCATTTCACATCTGTTTATTTCCCATTGCTGGTGTCAGCTTTCCCCATCATCCTAAATGTAGTGAGGAAGCAGAGTTTTGCATTTCATATCCTCAAAAAGTCTCTTTCTCTTGTAACAGAGACTTGTCCCTCCTGGGTTCCCATCCCTATTAAATCCATAATGGCCTTTCCCTCATCGGTTTCTGATACTGGATGTCTCTTGCAATAAATCGTGTTTGCATTTGCTCTGCAGACGGGCAAACAGAAGCAGAGCGGCAAAGCAAAGGAAAAACAAGAGCAGAAGGACGAGAGGCGGCCACGCCCAAAGGAGCATCGCTGATGGTTAGCAATATCCATTTGTAAATATCTCCATTTGTACTACAAAAAGATCCACTATTAAAGGTTAGATTGCAAGACTGGGTTTCTCCCTTTCTGTTTGTCAACTTCTTTTTTGCTTCTCCTGTCTGATACAGAACAGAACCAAAGCTTCCAGATAACACCTTAGTTTAAACATTTTCCATGTGAACATAATAAACACAATACTTACAGGTATCAGGGAGTCTTTTTGGAGCCTCTCTTGTTGATCTTCTGACAATCGTCTCACAATGCATGCAGTAAGAGGTGGAGCGCATTCAGAAAATGCCTAATGTAATCACTTGTTGTTTATCTCACAGCATCCAACGTTTAAGAAGTCCTTGGAGATTCCAGCCTATCATTCTGCCAAATGGATTAGGAAATGAGATGCTCCAAAGAGGAACATAGAGCAAAACCAGAAACCTCAGTAGCCAGGCAACATCTCAGCATTCCGCATCTGCTTTGAGACTAGGACGTGGAACAATGGCTTCAAACTACAAAAAAGGAGATGCCACCTGAACATGAGGACGAACTTCCTGAGAGCCGTTCAGCAGTGGAACTCTCTGCCCTGGAGTGTGGTGGAGGCTCCTTCTTTGGAGGTTTTTAAACAGAGGCTGGATGGCCATCTGTCGGGGGTGCTTTGAATGCAATATTCCTGCTTCTTGGCAGAATGGGGTTGGACTGGATGGCCCATGAGGTCTCTTCCAACTCTAGGATTCTATGATGCTATGATGATGCTATGAAAGATGTAATAATTCAATATTTTAAATTTTAATTTCTTTTTACAAACCTTGGAATATTTTTAAAGCAATAGGTCAGTGTTTCTCAACCTTCCTAATGCTGTGACCCCTTAATACAGTGTTTCTCAACCTGGGGGTCGGGACCCCTGGAGGGGTCACGAGGGGGTGTCAGAGGGGTCACCAAAGACCACCAGAAAACACAGTATTTTCTGTTGGTCATGGAGGTTCTGTGTGGGAAGTTTGGCCCAATTCAATCGTTGGTAGGGTTCAGAATGCTCTTTGATTGTAGGTGAACTATAAATCCCAGCAACTACAACTCCCAAGTGTCAAGGTCTATTTTCCCCAAACTCCACCAGCACTCATATTTGGGCATATTGAGTATTTGTGCCAAGTTTGGTCCAAATTCATCATTGTTTGAGTCCACAGTGCTCTCTGGTTATAGGTGAACTACAACTCCCAAACTCATGGTCAATACCCACCAGACCCTTCCAGTATTTTCTGTTAGTCATGGGAGTTCTGTGTGCCAAGTTTGATTCAATTCCATCGTTGGTGGAGTTCAGAATGCTCTTTGATTGTAGGTGAACTATAAATCCCAGCAACTACAACTCCCACAGGCAAAATCAATACCCTCCCCCAATCCACCAGTATTCAAATGTGGGTGTATTGGGTATTTGTGCCAAATTTGGTCCAGTGTATATCAGATGTTTACATTTCTATTCATAAGAGCAGCAAAATGACAGTTATGAAGTAGCAATGAAACTAATTTTATGGTTGGGGGTCACGATAACATGAGGAAGCGTATTAGAGGGTCGTGGCATTAGGAAGGTTGAGAACCACTGCCTTAATACATTTCCTCATGTTGTGGTAACCCCCAACCATAACATTATTTTGCTACTTCATAACTGTAATTTCGCTCCTGTTATTAATTGTAATGCAATTATCTGATAAGCAGGATGTATTTCCATTCACTGGACCAAATTGGGCACAAATACCCAATAAAAAGCCATTAAATGCTAATCAAGGTGGTCAGTTGAAACATTCACACCTAGCTCCAGCAGACAAGAGTCCTTTGTCCCACCCTGGTCATTCCACAGATATATAAACCAATTTTCCTATTTCCAACAGACCTCACTACCTCTGAGGATGCTTGCCATAGATGCAGGCGAAACGTCAGGAGAAAATGCCTCTAGAACATGGCCATATAGCCCGGAAAAACCTACAACAACCCAATACCCAATATACCCAAAATTGGATTGGGGGGGGGGGGTTGATTGATTTTGTCATTTGGGATTTATAGTTCACCTACAATCAAATTGCATTCTGAACTCTAGCAACAAAGGAATTGAACCAAATTTGACACATAAAACTACCATGGCCAACAGAAAACACGGGAAGGGTTTGGTGGGCATTGACCTTGAGTTTGGAGTTGTAGTTCACCTACATCCAGAGAGCACTGTGGACTCAAACAACGATGGATGTGGACCAAACTTGACATGAATACTAAATGTGCCCAAATATGAACACTGGTGGACTTTGGGGAAAATAGACCTTGACATTTGGGAATTGTAGTTGCTGGGATATATAGTTCCCCTACACTCAAAGAGCATTCTGAACCCCACTAACAATTAAATTGGACCAAACTTCCCACACAGAACCCCCAATGACCAACAGAAAATTCTGTGTTTTCTGATGGTCTTTGGCGACCCCTCTCACACTCACTGGCGACCCCCGCAGGGGTCCCGACCCCCAGGTTGAGAACCACTGCAATAGGTGGAACTCTTCATTCTGATAAGAACGGACTGTTTTGCAAAAAGAGAGCTGTCCCTAATGTGTTGTACTAAATTAGTGGTTCCCAACCCATGGGCCCAGCCCAAGGTCCACGAGAGGAAGAGAAGGAAGGAGACGCCAGCATCATCATTATTATTATTAGTTCCCATTGCCACACATCAGTTGTAATGGGAAAGCAGCCCTTTGTAAGAGTTTAAGGTCATCTGGGGAAGCCCTGTTCTCGGTCCCGCCTTCTCTGCAGGCGAGACTGGCAGAGACGAGAGACAGGGCCTTCTCAGTGGTGGCCCCTTGGTTATGGAATTATTATTATTATTATTATTATTATTATTATTATTATTATTAACTTTATTTGTACCCCGCTAGCATCTCCTGAAGGACTCGATGCGGCTTACAAAGGCCAAGGCCTCAAAACACAACATAATAATACACAACCAAAGCAAATTAAAAACAGTTAAAGCAATATTAAACAACAAACAATAAAACAATACACCAGGACACAATAACACTGGGCCGGGCCAGAGTAATGGGTACAGATTAAA